GCCTCCACCGGGGGTCGGTGGGGTCGGTATTGGAAACGCCAGCCCCGCCCGCTCTCAACCTGGATCCCACCGGGATCGACCCGGACCCACGCCCTGCGGCCCGCGGTCGGCGCCCTGAGACCTGCTTCTGGAGCCGGGTCCCTTGGCACCGTGGGGCGAGGCCGAAGGAGCCAGGACGGGGCCCCTGTGTCTGCTAAGAATGGGCCCTTCGAAGTAGAAATCGGGTGGGGGCTTTGAGTCCCGTCACTAGAAAGCAGGCAGGGCTGGAGGGGAGGCACCCAGGGGCGGGGCTTGAGTGGAGCTGGGCGGAGACTGAGGGCGGGGTCCAGGTGAGGGGCTGCGGGGAGGAGTTCCCTGGGCCCGGGGTGGGGCGGGTCCTCCGACAGCCCAGGGAAGCTCTCCAGGCTGGTGGCTCTCAGCCCTCCAGCCCGGCTTCTCCCTGTCCCTGTCCGGGGTTATGATGTTTCTCTTCCGCTTTACCACCTGGGCACCTGTGAGCTCCCCGCAGCCTGTCCTGAGTTGAAATGTGGGCTGGTTATTCCAGGCCCCTCTCCCGAATCTCTTCCTCCAATCTCCCCTGGGTTCCAGCTTCCCCCCTCCTGCCTGCCCCCTTTAGGGGAAAGGGCGCCTGTGACTCCAGTTTCTCCCAGTCCAAGTGCTGCCTTATCAGCCGTGGTTGAACCCAGAGCTGGGGCCAGGTGGATGGCCCTTGGAGAGCAGAGCCAGGAGCCTTTGCATACCTCCTCCCAGGGGGCACACAGCAGGGGTGCCATCCGTATTTGCTGATATTTAGGACGGGAGGAGAGACACTGGATGGAACAGGTGGTACCTGGAGAGGAGGCATGGTGATCCTAGGAATCATCTGTGAGAGGCTTTTCTACCTCCTGGATGGGCTTCTGGAGGCCCTGGGAGCAGAACGTGGCACTGTGCGCTGGGGTGGGACGCCAGCACCCGTGTGTCTCCTTGTGAGACCTGCAGTGGAAGTGTGAGGTGTGCGGGAGAGAGTGTCCGGGTGCGTATGTGAGACTGGGGCTGGGAGAGTGTCCATGCCCTTTCCGAGGACCCCTTTGGGGAGCTCCCTGAGGAACTCACAGCACCCTCTGTTGGTCCCAGGACCCGCGGTGGGCCCAGAAGAAATGCCTGGTGAGGCTCTGGTTCCCCAGCTGGGGGGACCATGTGGGATGCCTGAGGGACATCAGGTTTAGCGAGTGGAGGCCACATTCCAGCCTGGGTGTCCTCAGAGCTGGTAACCAGGATGCAACCAGGATTCCCCTGGAACACCTGCTGCTGCCCCCTCCCAACCAGACGGAAGCTGGGATTATTCCATCCGGCTGCCTTGCCACCAGGGCCCCTCTGTCTCCTGCCCCTCCCCTCCCCTACTTCCCACTCCTCCCTGAGGCTCTCATTCCCTGGCCAGGGCTTCCTGGTTCTGGACCTCAGGAACCCTAGGAGACTCAGAAGGAAACCAGAGTGGATCCAAGCAGCCATACATAATCACCCCCAGTAAGAAGTGGGACCACAGAGGGGAGGGCACAGGTCGTTCCTCTGCCCCCACAGCATCCAACCTCCCTGGAAATGGCTCTGGTTCTGCCTGCTTCCTGACCCTCACTTCCATAGTTCCTGATGAGAGAGGGGCTGGAGGAGGCAGGAAAGGGAACAGGAGACAATCATGCAGTCAGAATGTTAGGGCTGGAAAACCATACCCATCATTTGGTCCTGTAAACAT